TATCAACCGCTTGAAGAGGTTGATAATGTCATATCAACCGCATAGTTAGGGCAATTATTTCAGCCCCTCTCTCCCCTGAAATATTCAAATTCCGCCTCCTGCTTTCAAACAGTAGGCCGGAAGGTGTATTCGCTTGAAATCAACGGCTGCTGAGAACAATAGAAACCGAGGCAATGGTGATATAATTATTAGTTAAACCATGCTTATATCATCATTGGCTCAGTTTCTGTTGTTCTCAGCAGGTTGATTTCAAACGAATACACCTTCCGACCTACTGTTTGAAAGCAGGGGGCAGAATTTGAATATTTCAGGAGAGAGGGGGCTGAAATAATTGCCCTAACTATGCGGTTGATATGAAAATATCAACCTGTTCAAGAGCCAAGAGGTTGATATGAACATATCAACCACTTGAAGAGGTTAATAAATTAATGAGGTTGATAAATACATATCGATCTCTAAAGAGGATCTCTCCTCTCGGCTGGATAGACGCTGGACGTCCCCTGGTTCCTGGATCGAGAAAGAGATATCAGCCGTACCTCTGCCCGTCACTATCGATCATCCGGCGTCAGAGAACATGCTAGAAAACCCCACCATGACCCTTCTCAAATTCGCACTCAGCGAATTTATACAAAAATATCTACTGTTTTGCTTGTGAGACGTGAAATAAAGTGAAATTACACACTGCGCATGCTCAACTACAACTTATTACAGCTTCTGAAAGACAGTGTTTCTCACCTCGCTCTCACTTTCCTCTCCGCTATAAGCGAGTTATATTACTGCATCTAAATCTAGTTGACAATCACTGTCCGAAACCTTGTCACTAGTAAACACATGCTGCGTAATTTACAAATCCTGTCACTTTTATCCTCCATAGCCAGCAATCAACAAACAACGTGAATACTTCTACATGCACCATGTTAAATGTAAAATGTACTTAAACTCGTCGACTGCATGCATAACATATTTCTTCTATTTGCAACACAATACATTTCACCCACACCAGTCATTTCAACTAATTTACATCCTCTCTCTTATGCAAATCGCACAACTTGTTGAGGGTAAAGAACTTGTCATTGCGTTGGATGACTAGGAACTTTAACTGCATCGTGCCTAACGTAAACATGTACAGCTTGTTGTAATGCACGCGGTACATAAGATGGACGCAAACCGTGGTTTTGTGGGGGAACAAGACGTTGCTGGTGCATTGTATCCCGAAGTCGACCAAGGAATGAGGAGTGGTCGACCGCCTCGTTGTGGGAAGAATTGAAAAATTCCCCAGGGAGGTGAAGAGTGGTTCCATAGACCAACTCCGCTGGACTGCATTCAAGATCTTCTTTGAGGGTGGTCCAAATTCCAAGCATCACAATGAGTAATTCGTCCCACCAATTTAGGCCATTTAGCCGAGCTTTCAGGGATGTCTTGAGTTGCCGATGGAAGCGCTCGACAATGCCATTAGATTGTGGGTGGTAGGCTGTTGTACGGTTACGCTTAATCCCGAGAAGAAGCATGTGAATTTACCTTACAGGTGAATCTAGCGCCTGGATGGGAAAGATTATGTATCAGGTTGAATATCTCGCGACGAAAAGACTCTGGGACTACTGGTCTAATATTATACCCTGAGATGAGTCGCAGAGAAGTAATGTTTTCATCACCATCAAGGAGAACGTCCACTAACTTTAAATTTGTTACCCCAGCTTTCAGGCACTGGGTCTCATGATCATCAGCTTGTGCTTGAGCCATTGCTCGAAAGTCAATTTCGGTATAGGAGGTGGCATTGATTTGGATCCTGGAAAACGTGTCTGCCACTGCGTTATTCTTACCCTTGACGTGTCGCAGGTCGGTGCTAAACTCAGAAATAAAAACCAACTGCCGGATTTGCCGTGGAGAGCGTTGGGTTGACCCACTTGAGATTGCAAAAGTCAAGGGTTTGTGATCAGTGTACACGTGGAACACACGACCTTCGATAAACCACCGAAAATGCCGAATGGCTAAGTAAACCCCTAGCAGCTCTCGGTCAAACGTACTGTAACGTGTTTCTTCCGGCTGTAGCTTGCGAGAAAAGAAGCCGATGGGGCGCCACTCGTGATCGATAAGTTGTTCAAGGACGGCTCCCACAGCGATATCTGAGGCATCAGATGTTATACTGGTTGGTGCATTATTATACAAATAATGAATGTTTATGAGTGCAATAGTAAGAATATTTTCATGAGGTGAAAGATGGAATGTTCCATTCAACGAGGCGACAGCGGAGTTGAATGGAACATTCCATCTTTCACCGAATGAAAATATTCTTACCATTGCACGAAGAAACATTCATTATTTGTTTTATATAATACCAAAATAGACTAATAGATTCGTATGAGAAACATTTTGAGGGATGCGACTTATCGAAAACACAAAGAGTGCAATTGTACTATACGTTTTATTCCATTGCACTCGCGGAGAGTGCAATGGAACGTGTTCCATTGCACTCTTGGGAAATGGAATTTTCTATTCAATATCACGTGACCATAAACAGCCAATTAAATTATTAGAATTTAATAAGGTATTATATAAAATGCGAATGAACCAACAGTGTTGCACTAGCTAGGGCGGATTTACAGAACTGGAATGCTTCCTCACATTCTGGAGACCAAATAAAATCGGTAGAGGATTATTATTATTATTTTTATTTCCACATCTTTTAACACGGTGTCTAATCAACCCAACTATTATACAAATAATGAATGTTTATGAGTGCAATGGTAAGAATATTTTCATGAGGTGAAAGATGGAATGTTCCATTCAACGAGGCGACAGCCGAGTTGAATGGAACATTCCATCTTTCACCGAATGAAAATATTCTTACAATTGCACGAAAAAACATTCATTATTTGTTTTATATAATACCAAAATAGACTAATAGATTCGTATGAGAAGCATTTTGAGTGATGCGATTTATTGAAAACACAAAGAGTGCAATTGTACTATACGTTTTATTCCATTGCACTCTTGGGAAATGGAATTTTCTATTCAATATCACGTGACCATAAACAGCCAATTAAACGATTAGAATTCAATAAGGTATTATATAATACTAAATATATATATATATATATATATATATATATATATATATATATATATATATATATATATATATATATATATATATATATATATATATATATATATATATATATATATACAAATGAAAATGGTTGCTTTTCATTAGGCCGTGTGTCAATAAGTACACCAGTTATTTACAATATTAAAAAGAAAATAAACAAAAATACAGAGATAGAGATACATTCACTCTACTTTATTCCTTTCGTTCCAAATTTTAGCAGCAGCATATCCAAAGGTGCGAACCATAGAATTTGTTTTCGGTTTTGGCAATGCTAAAAATTTATTATTGCTTCTTAAAATCATATCTTTCAGAATTTGATATTTTAAACTTTTCAGCTATATTTTTCGGGCGATTTCTGGTAATAGCTTTTGAAACATACGCACTTGCTTTTTCTTTTCTTTTTACGGATAGGTTTTTCTAATTCAACTTTTTTAAAGTATATTTTGAACGCATATCATAAGTATCACCTGTAATGACCCTTGCTGCCCTGTTTTGAAGTTTCTGCAATATTTTTTCTTCAGGGATCCGCAGTTGCCCCAAACTAAGGAGCAATACTCAAAATAAGGTTGAACCATAGAATTATAAAGAAATTGAAGCGTTTCTCTTTTAACAAACTGTTTAGCTCGTCGTAACATGCCGATGCCTTGACATACTTTGTTACTTATGTTATCTATTTGTTGATCCCAGCGTCTGTTTTACCAACATTCAAAGTTAATTTATTGGCTACTATCCATGCACCGATGTATCCTGTTCAAATTCGAATTTAAAATGGCTTGTAAATTGTTAATATCATCGGAACACGCCGTCAAATTCGTATCATCCGCATACATTTCAGCACTAGAGTGTCTTAGACAGTTCGAGAGATCGTTGACATACAAGGAAATAACAATGGATCGAGATTAGAACCCTGTGGAACTCCACAGCGTATATTTTTGTTGACGATGCTGCACTTCTCACCTTGCAAACATGTTTTCGATCAAATAAATATGAAATAAACCACTTGAGGGCAGTATTTTGAACCCCATAAATTTTTAACTTCTTAATGAGGATTTCATGACCGTATCAAATGCTTTACGCAGATCAAGAAATACAACTCCGTTTACAAGCCCAGCATCCATATTGACTAGCCATGAATCGCTATTTGACAACAAGGACGACATTGTTGAGTGGTTCTGACGGAAGCCTGACTGACACGGGCTTAGAATGTCATTGCATTTAGATAATCTGTTAACTGTATGCATACGAGCTTCTCAAATAGTTTAGCGACAATTGAAAGAACAGATATCGGTGTATATTACCCCTTTCTTTTTTATCACCTCCTTTATAAATTTGTGAGACTCTTGCCACCTTAAGGTTATCAGGGAATATCCCACTACATAGGGAAGTATTAATTATGTATGCCAAAAAAGGTGCAACTGTCTCTTTTGAGTCTTTTAATAGTTTAACTGGGATATTATCTGGGCCTGTCGATTTAGACGAGTTTAATTTTTCCAAGTTCATTAAGTACAATTGTGCTATCAACAGTCGCAAATTCAAATATTCCAGAAGCTTCATGCGTCATGTAACTTTCAAAACCCTGGCTACTTATGCTTGTTATTTGGTTTGATAAGGTTGGACCAATATTAGAAAAATACTCATTAAACAGTACTAGTTCGGCTATTGTCTGGCTCTCGACAACGTCTCCCTCGTCAGTTTTAATGACTTGTACACCAGTACGTTTAGACTTTCTATTTAGCAGACAATTTAAGTGTTTCCACATAAGTTTAGGGTTTCCCATGTTTTCCTCAATTGATTTTACATAATGTTTCCTTTTAGCGCAAATGACATCTTTGTTTATCTTATTACGTAGAGCCTTATAAGCATTATGGTACCACAAAGAATTCTTTTTTACCGCTTTTTCTTAAGATAGTCTCTACGATTCATAGCGAGTTTTATTGTATCAATAAGCCACGGCGTCTTTTGACTCCTCACTCTCTTGCTCCGTAAAGGAGCATGGGTATCAGAGATATAACAGGACATGGGTATCAGGAACATGGTTATCAGAGACAATATCAGGAACATGGGTATCAGAGACAATAGTTTGTGCAAAGGATGTAGCCTGCCAGCACAATGAGGGATGAAGCGATGGTAAAAATTGACCATACCAAGGAACTCGCGTAACTTCTTGTCAACAGGTTGAGGAAATTCTGCAACAGCTTGGATGATGGATGAAAGAGGGGAAATCCCTTGGGCACTGACATGATGACCTAAGAATGATAACTGTGATCGGCCAAGCTCACACTTCTTAGGATTAATGACCAAGCCGTACTGTTCCAGTCGCTGAAAAAGCTGGCGCAGATGGTGGCGATGTTGATCAGGCGTGGTGCTGAAAACCAGGATGTCGTCAATGAATACAAACACAAAGTCCAGGTCACGCCAGACTTCATCCATGAATCGTTGGAATGTCTGGGCCGCATTGCGCAGTCCATATGGCATACGTTTGAACTCAAAAAGGCCGAATGGTGTAATGACTGCCGTTTTAGAGACATCTCTAGGAGCAACAGGAATTTGATGGTATGCACGAACCTGGTCAATCTTGGAGAAGATTTTACAACCAGCAAGACGAGCAGAAAAATCCTGAACGTGAGGCACATGGTAACGGTCTAGTTTAGTGGCTGCACTGAGAGCTCGATAGTCGCCACAGGGGCGCCAGTCACCGTTCGACTTTGGGACCATATGAAGTGGGGATGCCCAATTACTTGATGATTTGCACACCGTGTGAGAAGACAACATCTGGTCAAACTCGGTTTTCGCAGCTGCAAATTTTTCAGGAGAAAGGCGTCGAGCCTTCGCAAAAGTGGGCGGTCCGGTCGTGATAATATGGTGCTGACCAGCTGGATCTGTGATGCGGGGTTCACAGACAGGTGGAAATTCAGCCAAAATGGTATCGAACCCATTGGTGGGTTTAGCTAGCGATATGCGATTGAGAGAAAGGGAACGGAATGGTGAAGTCTGTGCAGGGACAGTCACTGATGTTGCTGCATCGACGAGACAAGAGTTGGCAACATCAACCAACACTCGAAAATGCCACAGGAAGTCCGCACTTAAAATTGGTTGGTTCACCTCTGCAATAAGAAAAGACCACTTCGGCTGCCGGTGAAGACCAAGGTCCAGGCAAAGTTCACGCTTGCCATGGGTATGAATTGTCGAATTGTTAGCCGCAGTCAGAGAAACCCCCTTTCTGCGATACCGCTTGTCATGTTGCGTAGCTGGGAAAACACTGACCTCGGCACCTGCATCAATTGGAAACCGAGTTTTTGAATGTTTGTCCGTCACATACAACAGGCGGCTTGAGGAACCCCCAGTCACGTGCGCCTCTACTGGTGACCGGGCTCAGTGCCGGATTAACCATATGGCAGAAGCGGCATATGTCACGGGCCCCGCGCTTACTCTCTTCTATTTTTTTTCCGATTTTTTTTGTTCCATGTTTCAGTGCGAGACCCAAACAGTGTGCCAGTGCGGGGCCCTAAAGAGCCCAAATCCCCCAGAAAACGCGAGGGCCCCAAAATTTAAAAAGCGAGGTCCCATCAAGCTGGGCCCAAATGTTTTCTTTGTTCCCTGTTTCAGTGTTTCAGCGCGCGGCCCCAAAGAGCTCAAGGTCCTCAGAAAACGTCAGGTCCCAAAATTTAAAAATCGAGGTCCCAAATAGCCGGGTCCGAAACGGTTTTTTTGTTTCCTGTTTCAGCGCAGGATCCAAACAGCGCGGGGGCCCCAAAGAGTCCAAGACCCCTAAAAGCGAAGCTCCCAAATAAAAAAACACGAGGTCCAAAAGTTTAAAAAGCGAGATTCCAAAAGCAGGGCCGCAAACAATTTTTTTGTTCTTTCTCTGAGCAAGAATGGAATTTTGTGGAAGACGGCAGAACTTAGCTATTTAGCATGTTTAGCTATTTTTCTCCTGTAAGTAATAATAATGTTAATGGTATAAACTTGGTTGAAATTCAGTTCGGTGAAATTATTGATGTATAATTATTTTTGTTTGCAAATACACAGGAAACTTTTAAACGCATGAAATACAAGA